ATTTCTTGTTGCTGTTGTGAAATGGTCTCTTGCAATCCAGCTATCTCCTCAGAGTTGTCCTGTGCTAGTTCTTTTGCTTTCCTTGCTTCTTCTACAATTATCTCCATCTTGCAATTAATTTCTTGCAGTTGCTGATTAATTGGGGCCATCATAGTGGCTACTTTATCAGTCAGGCATTCCAGTGCATCTGTTATTAGAGCTTCAAACATTGCAAGCTCTTCTGATTTCTTTGAATCAGGAGTCAACACCATTAGCTCTCCTCCGCGTCTCTCTCAATCTGCTTTTTATTTATTTATTTATTCAAATTTTTATCCCGCCCTCCTGGCCTAGGCCAGCTCAGGGTGGCTTACAAGCAGATAAAATTCCAACAATACATACAAAACACATCAACAGTTAATATAAAGACAATATTAAAATAACATGTTAAAATCAGATATATAATAATAAAGTGCTAGGCTTTATAACATCAACCACATTGGTCTGCTCAGATGTCATAAGAAGTGCTTCAGATGTCATAAATCGTAAGGGGGGGGATCGGCTCAGGCAGTAGTTGAGGGTCCAGTGGGTCAGGACTCTTCACCATAAGATGTCATTTGTTGTTATTAGTAACAATGGTGGTCATGGTGGTAATAGCAGTGGTGGTGGCTACAAAAGCCTGGCGGAAGAGCTCCGTTTTATAGGCCCTGCAGAACTGTAGAAGGTCCCGCAGGGCCCTGACCTCCTCTGGGAGCTCATTCCACCAGAATGGAGCCGCCACTGAAAAAGTCCTGGCTCTGGTCGTCACCAGCCTGTCCTCCTTAATACTTGGGAGGACCAGCCGATTCTGGATCCCTGATCGCAGCGGTCTTTCAGGTATGCAGGTCTCTGGCCATAAAGGGCTTTAAACTTAAGAACCAGCACCTTGAAGCGGATCCGGTAAGCTATAGGCAGCCAGTGCAGTGCCTGTAGCACAGGCTGGATATACTCCCGAGTAGGGAGTCTCATCAACAGCCTGGCCGCAGCATTTTGCACCAGCTGCAGCTTCCGGATTTGTGACAAGGGCAGCCCCATGTAGAGGGCATTACAGTAATCCAGTCTCGAGGTGACCATCGCATGGATCACTGTTCCCAGGTCATTGCGTTTGAGGAAGGGAACCAACTGCCTAATCAGCCATAGGTGGTAAAAGGCGGACTTGGCAGTGGCTTCTACCTGGGCCTCCATTGTTAGAGAGGCATCCATGAGCACACCCAGACTCCTAACCTCTGGCGCTGGCACCAGTGGCGCCCCATCGAAGGTCAGAAGTGGGATCCCTACCCTCGGACTGCCATGGCTCAGGCACAGGACCTCCATCTTCGTCGGATTCAATTTCAGCCAGCTCAGCCTAAGTCAACCAGCCACGGCTTGTAACGCCCGGCCAAGTTCTTCCAGTCCAATAACAGATAGAGCTGGGTGTCATCCGCATACTGGTGACAACCCAGCCCATGCCTCCGGGCAATCTGGGCAAGAGGGCGCATATAGATGTTAAAATGCATCAGGGATAACACCACCCCTTGAGGCACTCCACATTCCAATGGGTGCCTTCGGGACAGGTGGTCCTCTAGTGCTACTCTTTGTCTCCGGTCTTGGAGAAAGGAAACAAACCACTGCAAGGCTAGTCCCTGAACTCCAATGTCGGCGAGGCAGCAGGTCAGTAGTTGGTAGTGGACAGTGCCGAATGAAGCCAACAGATCTAACAACAACAGCATTGCTGTTCTGCCCCAATCCAGGTGTTTCCGGAGGTCATCTGTGAGGGCGACCAGTGCCATCTCTGTCCTGTGGCCCAGGTGAAAACCGGACTGGAAGGGATCTAAGATGGAAGCTTAATCCAGAAAGCCTTGTAACTGAATTGCCACTGCCCACTCTATTATCATGCCCAAGTAGGGCATGTTGGAAACTGGCCGATAGTTGGCCAATTCAGTTGGATCCAAAGATGGCTTTTTTTTGAAGGGGGTGCACCACTGCCTCCTTAAGTGCCTCTGGGAACTGTCCCTCTAGGAGAGACTTGTTGATAATCTCCTGCAAGGCACCCCGAAGCCCCTCACGGCCAGCTTTAATTAGCCACGATGGGCATGAGTCAAGGGAGCATGTGGAAGGGCGTACAGTTAGGAGCAGTCTGTCAACTTCCTCTAGGCTGAGCAGGCCAAAATAATCCATAATGTGATTAGAAGACGTGCTTGGAGCCTTGAGTTCATTCACTGTATCAACTGTAGCAGGGAGGTCACGGTGGAGGGACAAGACTTTATCCGCAAAGTGGCTTGCAAAAGCCTCACAGCCAATATCCAATTCCCTACAGTTTAGAATGTCTTGGGACAAAGTAGTAATAGATCGAATTGTTCTAAATAATTGGGCTTGGCGTGAGCTAGCGGATGCAATCATGGCCGCATAATACTGCTTTTTTGCAACTTTGACTGACATCTCATAGGATCTCATAAGCGTCCTATAAGATGCTCTTGTGGCTTCGTCGTGGGTGCGCTGCCACCTCTCTAGCCGTCTCAGCCCCCGTTTCATTAGCTGCCACTCCTGGGTAAAATATGAAGTGAGCCTAGACTGGGGGCGCAGAGGGCGCCGGGGAGCAATCTCATCAATGGCTGCCGAGAATCAGTCATGCCAATCCTTTACAAGCTCATCCAACGAGACACCAGGGGGCTTTGGATCCCAAAGAGCCATCTGAAGCCTCATTGGGCCCATTAGACTCCGCGGGCAAGCCCAAATTGGCTCGCCGCCCAAACAGGATCTGAGTGGAATATTTAAGCGGGCCTTCAAGGCAAAGTGGTTTGACCATGGCACTGCTGAGGCAGTGATCTGGGCCACTTTCAGCCCTGCCACGAAAATCAAATTGAGCATGTGCTCAGCCCGGTGAGTGGGGGCCGTTACAAGTTGGGAGAGTCCCAGGGCCGCCATGGACGATACTAGGTCCGCTGCCTGTGTAGTCATCAGCATGGACATTGAAATCACCCAGGACTATCAATCTGGGGTATTCCAAGGCCAGCAGGGACGGTAGGCTATTGGCCAGTGCGTTGGGCGGTCGGCTTAATTGCTGGAAATAAAGGCTCACAGGCAGGCTGGGGGTTTTCTTCAAATTAAGAACTTTCCCTTTGTTGGGTTTAACAGCTTTCTGCATGCTATTTTGAGTTGAAAATTTTACAATTCAAGGGGGAATTCTGGAATGAATGACTCATGATGTCACTATCTTCTAAGTTTCATCTTGATATCAATTTCCAACTAAATGTAATTTTTTCTGCCAATCACTCATATTTGGCACTCTCTAGTTTTTAAGTTAATAAATGAAGATACTCAGAAGCAACAGAATGAAGACAAGCTTAGTTTCCTCAGTGATCAACAGTGTACCCACTTTATTGTAATGCTTGTTGCAAAGGAGCCCTGAGCTGGACCAGAATCTAGAGCAGATATAAGAGATACAGCTGAAAAAGTAGCCCAATCTGTTAGGCAGCAATGGCCACAATGACCAAGGGGCAAATTCTAGAATAGCAGGGGCCTTCTAAGCCACTTACTAAAGGGTAGAAGAGCAGCAGCATTGGTGGATTGAGTAAAGTGAAAGAACAGTAGCTAGTAATCTCTCAGACAATCAACCATCTTTATAGCTGGGAAAGATCTCATAATCATGAAATATGAGAGTAAGGCTGTGCTCTTCAGTGCAGCAAGACAAACAACCACCATATTCGTACCTTTGGAGGTAAGTATGGTATTTTAGCCTGGCCTAGGCAGTTCTCTTATGGCTATACTTATGGCAAGAAGACTGATCGCACCACCAATTATGTCTGGCTGTACAGCCAATATTTAATGACTTATGGATTTGTATTAGTGCAGTCACAGATATTGTGAGAAAACTGAAGGTAAGGAACGTGACTGGGGGAGGAGAGAAAGAGTTGAAGAGTGCAGGACATGACCCCAAGAAGATCCAGGGACTCTAAAACCTAAACTCCTTCCCCATATCACTGGTACAGACCTCTTCAAATGACAAAAAAGGGTCCTCTGAAAGAGTGTACTTATTAGTATTCTTTTCCTCGAACTGGAAGAATATAGCATTGAAATATTTTTTCTTTAAAAAGGCCCACAGATATGATATTTTCATTTACTTTTTGTTAAAATAGGGGAAATGGTAGGCGAATATAGAATATTTAAAATGTCTTAAATACTATGAATATGGCAAGAGTTCAGTCAGTAACCATTAGGGCTAAACACTTGCTCTTGCTAGAAAACTAAAGCTCAAGATTTCCAAGAATTAAATATTCTTTGGCAGAGACAATTCTCATGGAAGCATTATATACAGTTTCCAAATGTTCCCCAGAAACAGTTCAATTCAAGAAACATTAGTGCCATTCCACAACAGCATGGGACCCAATGTTCCATGACACAATATGTTGTCGCACTGTGTAAGTGAAGATAATGAAAATACACAGATGGGATAAAATTGCATGACTCTTTCCCAACTGAACACTGCTCTCCTATCCAACCAATCAGGTGGGAAAGACCAGCAAGATAGGTCCCACCCATAGTTCCAGTATTCTCAGACAAAATGCAGCAGCCAGCATGGTGTGGTGGTTGGAGTGTTGGACTAGAATTTGAGAGATCCAAGTTTGAATCCTCACTCTGCCATGGAAACTTGCTGGTGTCACACACTCTCAGCCTAATCTACCTGCCAGGGCTGGCATGAGTATAAAACTGAGGAGAACAATGTAATCCACTTTGTGTCCCCACCTGAGAGAAAGATGGTGTTTAAATTATGTAACTAGATAAAAATAATCAATCATCCCACAGGGAAGTGTTCCTACTCCTGTGAGATTACATGCGAATGGAGCAATCATTGATCTAGTAATACAATAATTAAATAAATAAACGGAACTCTAATATTCACATTAAGTGGCAAACAACAGTCATCTTGTTAGCCCTTCTCTGGTCTCAGAATGTATTTTGTACACATATGCCACCCTAATCAGGTAATGTGAAATTTCAGTATTTACCAGAATCAGTAATGGAGGTATTCTTGGGACTTTCTTCTCTATTCTGTGAAGCATCTTTGAGGGAGTCCTGTGCCATTTCCATTGTGCCAGCAGGAAGCAGGAATCCTTTGCTCATCCGTATCTCCTAAAGAGTGTTCAACATGGAAGTAGGCCTGATGCAGAGCTTCAATATCACTATTAGTTCGCCCACCAGAAACAGCTAATGGGTGTAGGAAGGAAGTTAAACAAGATTCAGTGAATTCTAGTCAAGGAAGAACAAGTTAATAAATTAATAACATTAGAAGCAGTCATAAAAGTGTGCAGTTGATACCAATAAAAGGTGGACCACATCTTTAGCTGGTTAATACTAGGGATGTGCATTCGGCTTTCCTGAACTGAAATAAATACCAAATAAATACCTTATCAATACCTTATTGGTATTTATCAGTATTTTAAAAGCTGAATGCAAATTCAGGAAACTTTTTGGCTTCCAAATACAGTTTTCCCGAATTTGTTCAGCTTTTCTGGCTTTTGAGTAGCCGAATACCGACTTTCCTCGGGCTGCAGCTTCCCTGGTCAATTTTACTCCCCACCAGTCAGCTGTGGGAGTGAAACTGACAAGGGAAAGCCTCCTCCAGCTGCCCAAGGGCTGCTGGAGAAGCACAGGCAGAGAGCCCAGCCATGTTTAAATGCCTTTCTTTCCCTTTCCCCGCAGCGGAGGGGGGGGGGAATGGGAAAGCATAGGGTAGGTATGGAAGCATGTCCCCCCCCGAGCCTCTCTGCCGCTGTGGAGAAGCTCGGGGGGGGGGAGGGAAATAAAGAAGGTATGTTTAAATGCCTTTCTTTCCCTCTCCGAGATTGGGAAGGGAAAGAAAGGCATCTAAATTGACAAGAAAAGCATCTAAAATGAGTGAAATTGACAAGGAAAGCTGAACCCGCTTCCAGAAGGAAAGAAAGCATTTTTACATGCCTCCCTTCCCTCCTGTCAGGTATATCAGACCCGAATATATATTCGGGAATACCAAATATTTCCCCAGTCCTGATACTTTATTGGACTGGGGATATTCGGCATTTACTAATATTTTGGGGGTCTGATATACCCGAAGCCGAAAAATACCAACTTTTTTTTTGCACACCCCTATTTAATACTCAGTATCTGGTAAGTAGCTAAACTGAAACAAATGAAATCTTATATTCTTAATTTTCTCTTCCTTCCCAACTCAGAACTCCAAGTCCCAAACTTAGAACTTGGCTCCATGATTACTTATCTTGAGAAAATGTTAAGCAAAGAAGATTTGACCCAACCAGAGTGAAGCACTTTTAACTCCCTTTGGTGTCAGTAGAGGAAATGCTCAACTTCTAAATGAAAGTGAAGGGCTTAATATCAAAGGGCAAATCTGAAGATAGCTGAGCTGAGTAAGAAAGACCACACTGAGATCCCTTGAACGGTAAAAAGCAGGCCCACCTGTTCCATTCATTTCATCTGCTGCAATCTCTTGAGGTAGGTGATGTTCTGTCACAGCTACATCCTCCTGTTCACTGACCTTTTGAGTTTCCACGGCTGAATCCTGGGAATCAAGGAGGACAACTGAAAAGAAAACAAAGAAGCCTGAAAACACTTCCATTTAACAGGAGTATATCTTCCGGATGCTAGCCTACACAAAAGCTATGCAACTATCTGCTCTAACTCTCCAAAGCAATGTTTTTAAACACATGTAGCCAAGCAATCCCTATTCCACCTAGCATTGTTATAAAGTTTAGGAGATGCCCTGTGTCTGAAAACTTTTTTTTTTAAATCCCCGAAGGGATATTTTTATTTTTGCAATAAACTACAAAACTACAAAGAAAATATTAGGGAGGGAACTACATCTAGGGATAAAGAATAGATAGCCACACTATACAAAAATTCCCAAGAGGAGGAGATCTTATCCCTGTTAGTGTAAGTGTTAATACTATAAGTGTTAGTATCACAATATACTTGTAGAGTTCTTGTTTATCTCAGCTTCAATGTTTATATGTTAATATGTTAGTTGTTATGAGAGAACTTTCTGATCATCTTCTTGTTCTTCACTTCAAAAGGCTATTTTCCGAGTCCTTCTGCCTTTACTTCAGCTTTCTGTCTCTAAAGTCATATACAACTCTGGCAGCACCTGCTCCCGTTTCTGCAGCAGAGTCCTCTTCCGTTCCAGAGGTGGCAGAGTCACTAGATTTCGTTTCCTCCTCCTTGGATTCTTCCTCCATTCCCAACTGGCGCAGCAAAAACTCTTTAGCTTTGATGGTGGAGTCTATCTTCTCTCTTTTATCGTTGATCTTAAAGATGACACCCTCCGGAATCGCCCACCTATACGAAATTCCATTGGTTTGAAGGAAAAATCCTTCTAATTTTTCCTCTTTTGTCGGATTTCAAATGGAATATCTTTTAAGGTTTTGATGGTTATATTTCCCATTTTCAGTGTCACTTTTAAGATAGCATCTCTGGTCTGTCTTCTTGAGAATCTGACCACGATTTCTCCAGGCAGGCTATTTTTTTAAATATAACTGGAGTATGCCCTATAGGCCATCTCCATTTCTTTTACCAACTCATCCGCGGTTAAGCCTATTGCTGGAGCAATGATCTCGCTAAGCAACCTCCTCAGGTCTTCCTTCTCTGCTTCAGGAACTCCTTGGAACCTGAGATGTTAGCTTTTTCCATCTGTAGTTGCAGTAAATGGCTTTCTTGGAAGTTTTGCTTTGTTTCAACTTCTCCCATTCTTTTCTTCAATTTCTTACTTGTGGTGTCTATCTCTTTAATTTTCTCAGTTGCTTGCTCCACTTTCTTCTCCGTTTCTTTCAGCTGGAGCTGCTGAGATGCAAAGTTCTTATTCATTACGGTCAATTGCTGGTTAATACCATCGAGTTACTCCATCACCGGCTTGAGCATATCCGCTAACATTTTAATGACGTCTGCTCCCTCTTCCGGTTTTGGGCTCTGGCTGCCCAGTGGTTTCGTTTTCAGCTTTCTTTGCTGGGCTGCCATTTTCTCCTATTTGTTTACAGTTTCTAACACTTCTTCCCGGCTCAAAAAATTGCCCCACGATGATGGTAATCAAGTAAATCTCTCAAAACACACTTCTTGTGTTTCCTCCCCTCTCCCCCTTCGTATCGTTTATCAGTTCATTCGCATAAGAGGCGTCCCTCTTTGTGTCCGCTTTTACCAGAGGGGGGGGGGAATCCACTTTTACAATAATCCGGTTTATTCTGAACTCACGTTCATTTTCGGTCAGGATCTCTGACCTCGCTCACTTTAAAAGCCATTCCGCTCGATCTCCGGCACTTGTCCCAGTCAAACCAGCTAGTGCCCGGAGGCCACACAGCGTCTGGACTGTCAGGGCAGAGGGGAGCCTCAATGCTCCGGCATTATGCCATAGAAGAGGCTACCCCTCAAAAGTCCTCTGGCCTGGAGCCTATCACAAAGGCTCCGTGGGGGTGTCACTTGAGGTGGCACCCCTCCAAGGCGCTGGTGTGCGGATCGCTCTCCCGCGGTTTGGGGAGAACGTCCACCATCGCTGCTCCATAAGTCCCCTGTGTCTGAAAACTTGATGAATGTAAAATGGTAGAATAATAAGCCAGGCTATTGGCTGGAATGAATTTCAAAGGTGGAAAAAGAAAAACTGACAATAGTGTTTTTATGATAAAAATTCACTATATAGCTCTGATCTGGATAACTCAAGCAAGCCCAATCTCATCAGATCTGGCAAGTAATTGGATGGGAGACCTCTGAGGAATGCCAGGGCTTATGACACAGAGACAGGCTATCAAGTCACCTCTCTGACAATGTCCAAACCCCACTGGGGTCGGCAGAAGTCACCATGACTTCCAGGCACGTGAGCACACGCACGCACACAAAAAGGCTAAATATCTAGGCCCCTGTGGTGGGCATCATACATGGAATAAAGGAATTCTGAGTGCTTCACACCAAGAACCGAGTAGAGCCAAATCAACCCATGTGTGCTACATTTTTGACATTTTGTACCTTTAGCCAGCATGCCAGTCTTTTCCTCCTAAAATAAAGTTAAGAGAATGTGTATAAATATGCATGTACTTAAAAAATATGTCTTTCAGCTGACAAAGAAAACATTTAACAGTATTTTTTATAGCTTAAGGCACTACTGAGTTGGAAGGTTTCACCTGCCTATGATTTGGCTGGAAGTAGATTAAAACATTTGTATTATAGGATATTGGGATCTGGAACATATTGTGCATGATTTCATACTGATAAATCGTTAACTGGGTGCAAATGTCATATGCTAAAATCTACAGGAGCTACTTACTAATAAAGTTTAACACATTCAAAGAATTGTATTTGTCCAAAAATGATTACATTTGCTTCTGATGTGACAGCTTGTTCAACTTTATTGTCTTCTTTGGATTCTGAGTCTTCAAAATCCTCACTATAATCACCTGGGAGTTTGAAACAAGGCAAACAAGTAAATCTTTGGAGGAAACACAATATACTGTCCTTTCTCTACAGACAGAAGATCCATGCAGCCTTGTCCTACAGCAAGTCAACTAGGCACGATAAGCTTGGTTGCAAGCTACAAAACTGGACTCCTCTCCTTCACAAAGAAGGCAGGGTTGCTTCCTCACAAGTAACCACTCTAGTGCTGCAAACTATTCTAGGAACAGGAAGAGAAGAAATAATGGGGGACTGCTCATCTGTTTCTTAAAGAAAGAAACTGGATGGTGTGAACAAACTACAACACAGCTGCTAATCTGAAATCAGGCAAAGGGCCATGGTCCATGTGAACAGAGATTTTGAAAAACAGTGGACCTACTCAGATGACTAAAGACTGGAAACATAACAAATATAAAAAGGGAAACAGCTGAGATACGGAAAAAATGCTACCAGTAGAACTGAATGGTTAAATGAAAATGCTGAAGAAACTAGAAAGAAAAGGTGAGAAAAAGATTCTAAGTTAGAGACACAGCAGGCAGCAATATGGTATATCTAAGAAATTGATAATCACGTACAACACTTTTAAAAGATGTCTCTTGAACTTATTGAAAAACAGACTCTTTATAAAAGTGTTATAACAAAGCCCCTGGGGCTTTGTTTGGGTACTCCATAGGGTCCACAAGTTATATCCAATCATCTCACCATAATCGAGAACAACCATCCTGCAGAAACAGGCAGGGAGGAACTACTGCCTCATTTTTATAGAGAAACCTTAAACAGGTCTATTCACAGTGCTACTCAGGGTTATTAAATGGGGCTTACTGCTAGGAAAGTGATTTCAGGATTGTACTCTTAGGTTCAGGCTCCAGGTCCCTGATACTTAACATACTTTTTCTTTTCATGTAAATTCTATGATCATTTTGGAGCTCCCCTGATAACTCCCTTTCTTGTAGCATTCCCCAAACATTCAGATGATTTTCAGTATAGTCTCCTGTGCACCACTCTAGCCATTGTCAAGTGTATTTTAGCTGCTCTTAAAATTCTAACCACTGCCATTTATTCAGTGTTAAGATGATCAAGAAGCAAGACTGTTGAATTTCAGTGTATTTTAATTTATGCTACTTTGAAATGTGTTAATTTTTCTTTCAAATACAGGAAGAATGTTCTGTTCATTTGTATTTGAACTTTTAAAAAAAATGTCTAAAAGCCAATATGCTTTATACATTTTTCTGGAATAAAGAAAGCTGAGATTCTGCAGTAAATTCTTAATATTTTTTTGTTCACATTCATCAGTTCTGCAACACTTTCTACAGACGTTGTTAGAACCTTATCTAGCAGGCTGCCTCCAAGAGCTGCCAGCAGTATAGTCTTATTTATTGCTCCTAGCTACAGCCAGCCTCCCTGCAAGACTCTACTTTAAACACAGCAGAAAGCTACTGCTCATGCTCCATTAATTGGTTTACTGAAGTCACATATGGTGTTTGCCATCATAACTTCTTATGGCAATGAATTCTATAAATTAATTATGGCTCTAAATGGTCAGCTACAAAACAAAGTAAGGACTGAATAAATTATCTGAAACCAATCAAAGTGATGTTACCAGATTTTTCATGATTTCTCTGTTCATCCTCGTTTCCTTCTTCCATCTGCTTCACACCTGAGTGATCTCTGCAGAAGTGACATTATTAGTTATATTGAATTGTCTCTCTCCAAGTGTTAAGTTGAAGAGATTTTCCCTAACGTTTATTTTAAAAGTCCCAATTTCCTGGTAACTAACAGCATTTTTCTAACAATTAAATATACTTAAGGCTACATAGATAGAAAATATGTAGCATCAACAGAATTCTCTCCAGAGATTCTTCAAACACATTATCACCACAAATACAACAATGGTGTCTTAAAGACATTATTATTATTATTATTATTGTTATTATTATTATTACTATTATTACAGTGTTCATCTAACAACTGCTAATGACATTTGCTAAATCCTAAATAAAGTGACTGTTTTCTTCAAGAAGAATTCAGGACGGAGTATTCAAATCCATGGCTGATTATTCTTGTACATATTGGATAAAATTATAATTTACACCGAATAAAACTGTTATACAACCGGATCTTAAATACTTTGCTGGCAGCTTCAAGGCTTGATCTAGAAACTGATCCAATCTTGAAACATTTGTAGTGCAATCCTAAAGAGAGTTATACCCTTCTAAATCCACTGAAGTCAACAGCCTTAGAATGGTTTAACATACCAGCTTATAATTTCATTGTTGGACTATTTCTCAGTCCGAGTACTTTGTCGAAATCAGTTTGCCTGTATTTTTATAAGACACACATTTTAGGCAGCCTGTCCTCAAGCAAGTATTGGAACTTAATCCAACAGATAAACAGCTAGAACACCATTTGTGCAAACAAAATCCCTCAGCTCTTAATAGCACTGCAGAAGTGTCCTTTGTGGCTAAAAATATAGATAGATAAAAGCTATAGTAACTACAGACTTTTACTAAGTGAAGCCTTCCAGTTATTTGCATTCTAGCACAGAAATCTCTGCCTCTCTTCCACTCTTCTGCCCATCTATTTTCCCTAGTCCTCTATCTCCTCTCTCCTGTTCCAAATTACCACCTTAATCACAGACTGAAACACTGTAAAACCTAAATTTAACAACCAGAATTATGCATGTTACTTTCAGAATGTTGTTGTTAGAAATCCTGGCTGTCTTTGAACCCACAAATTCCCACTTAAAGGGTTTCACATATAAATAAAAAGGCCACAAATTTGCCATGTCTTAATTTTAATACCACAGACAATGTAGTTTGCTCTTTTATTACTTTACCGTAGAAATGCTTGTAACACTTCAGAATCATTGGAGTCCAGTGCCTTATTTAATCTGGAATAGTCAATGGTAGATGATACCCCTTTCTCAAGATTGGCAAAGAACCTCTCCTTTTCTTCTTGTTCTTCCAAAGTATCCAGTCCGATGCCCAATAAATTCTCATTAGGACCTGAAGCCACAACTGAATCTAAATTTTAAAAGCATCAAAACATGAACAGTATTATAATAACTTAAATCAGAATAATACATTTTCATAAGTAGTTAATTTCAGGAAAAGAATTTCCCAACATAGCTGCTAAGAAGGACACAAGACAGAACTCAGATATGTAACGCTGCTAACCCACTGGTTCTCAGCCTTCTAGAAGTGAGGCCCATTTCTAATCTTGTTCAACTTTTTGCAGTCTACTTGCAAAGTAATTCGTCAACACACAAAACAATTTTCTATTTGATGTTTTGTAAGTATTTCATGGTTATTTTGTGCAGGCACACCCAAATTTGCCACCAAGACTCTCAGAACCTTCTCTCCCAGCTCACCCTATTCCTCCTCTCCTTATCCCTTCCGGCCTTCTGACTCCTTTTGTGAGACCCACTTTTGGGCCCCAAACAGACTGGGAACTACTGCACCAAGTGCATTGTTGGCACACTGATGTTATGAATATCAATTTCCAAAGATTCATTCAGCTTACACTTTGAATAAAACTTTGTTGGTCTTAAAGGTGCCAACAAAGCAACCCACCTGAATCTATTTTGATATATTGGTTACGGACCAGGTAAACATCTAGAGGGGTGGAAGATGAAAGTTTGAATGTCTCAGGCAATTTTACCATTAGTTTCCAGGCTATCTCTGCTCAAAGAAACAGAAATGCCAGTTGCTTGTGGGAGCTGAGCGCTCTCTGCATTATCTTCATCAACTTCCAAAATAGGATGGGAAAGCCTTTGTGACTTCAGAAAACTTCCACTTGTGCCACGTATTCCTTTAAAAAAGAAGAAGCTATTAACACCAATATTTATACTGGAACACACTAATATTATGCATGATACAAGTGTACTGTAAACTTAAGAACTCCAGCAACACTTTTATTGATGAATACAGATCAGATACTGATTTGAATCCAAAGGGCTACAAGATGGTCTCCCTCCCTTCCCACTGCAGCCCTGAAAAGAAATCAGGACACTCTCAGGAGTAGAATCCAACACAAGATGAGGACTGCAAGCGCAGAAGCACTTTTTGTTTACAGATGGGAGTTCTTCAGATCATGAATACTGCTCTTTGTTTCACTACTTCAAGACTCTATTCCATACCAACACAATAGCCTGGCAACTTCACTCACCAGGTTACTTATTTAATTTATTGAATAGTCCTCTGTGCTTGAAGTCCATCAAAATGTATCTTGCTCCTTAATCATGAAAAACAACAGGGCTCTTTCACAGGGGACAATCCATTTTCTATAACTGATGTGCGAACATTATAAAGTTGTTTTTTTAAAAAAAATGATAAGCCAGAGTAGACGTTACCCGCAGTATGGCCATCAGTAGCAGAGATTTCTTCCTTGTTTAAATGCACACTTTTCTTTGCTTTAAGGGATTTTTCCAGCACACTGAATTTGGCCAGGGCTTTGCTGCGGGATGCGCTTGAAAAAGGTTTAGGACTAACTACTTTAACTACACACAGAACATTCACAAGTATTTAGGAGTAATGGGTTAGGGACCAAAAAGAAGGATAAATCGTGTTACCAAGGTGAAAAATGACTCAGCATCTAACTGTTTTCACACTGCAGGTTGATCACACATAATGAGGCAATTTGTCTAAAAATAGTAAGCAGGATTTAATGACCCTGACTTGAAAAGAAAGTGTATAACATGTTCCATAGTTAACAATTTACATGATATTCATGTACATTTATGAATTCATGTACATATTCATGTAATTTAAAAAGTAGTCAGACCGCCAGTGGGCAAAAAATACTATGTAGTGCAGTTTATAATCCAGTGTGTGAATGATAATCAATAGAGCCTGGAGACCTCCTGGAATTACAACTGATCTGAGATGACAGGGATCAGCTCCCCTGGAGAAAAGGGCTGCTTTAGAGGGTGGACTCTGGGGCATTACACCCCACTGATGTCCCTCCCCTCCCCAAGCCCTGCCCTTCCCAGACTCCATCCCCAAAATCTTCGGGAAGTTCCTAACCCAGAGCTGGCAATCCTAAACTCACAAAACATTGGGACACTACAGCCATTGTCGTGCATGGCCATTTGATGAAACACACAGTTGTAGTTCAGAATTATGTAAGTTTCCCCCCACCACTACCAGTGTAAATGCCCAGGACCTTTCTAATGTCCACACACTGAATGTCATGTTTACATATCAATCCACATCTGTAGAGCCCAACTTCACAATCTGTACATTCAGGACCTTATGCAAATGCTAATGGATATAAGGAGACCCTATGCCCAGAGGTATGTTAAACTGACACAGGCCTAGTCAGCACAGAATCAGACTATACACAGTTCATGATCAGTGTTCCCTCTAAGCTGAGTTAGTGTGAGCTAGCTCACAGTTTTTTAGCCTCTGGCTCACACATTTTTGTCTCCGCTCAGGAAGGATGGGGCTCCAGAACAAACTAATTTATGCAGTAGCCAAATTACTTGCTCACAACTTTAATGCCAGTATCTCACAGAGTAGAATTTTTGCTCACAGGACTCCATAGCTTAGAGGGAACATTGTTCATGATACAATACAGAACCATTCAGAATAATTCATTAACAAGTTAAATATTTCCTGCAGGTTTATTCAAAGAACTACCTAATTTTTTCCTGAACTCACTACTGCAAGGTTGTGTGCAAATCTGTATTTTTCTGCAATTATCAGGCCAGAAAGCAAAGGAAAAGTATCAGTACATCTGAAATGAACAACTAACCTCAAGCTGATATCTACAAGCAATAAACTTAATCTAGTACCAGACTGGATATTTGAAGGTGGTATCTTCTTTTCACCATCTTCAATCATTTCGTTTTTCTCCCCCACTGTTTTCTTCTCATTCCCCTGTTTGATAAACCTTGCCTTACGATCTCAGGAAAGAAGACAGAAAGAGCACACATAGAAAGCCAAAAAAATCATAAAACCCAGAAGATTTAAATATTTGAATAAAAGAGGAATAAAGAAAAACCGTATAAACAGATAGCAGCTATTTAACATGCCAAGTGAGGAGATCAGTATTTGGAAACAAGCACCTGCATAACTACAGTCTCTGCTTAAAAGTAAAGGGATGCAAGTATACCATAAAGAAGTTAACACAGACGTTACCTGCTGTCATAGGAAAATTAGCTTTCGTAGAATCCAAGGACTGCTTAAATGGGTAAAAAGGAAGCTCTAATATCCCTACAGTTTACTTCTGATTAGCTGACATTTTCAGACCTACATTCTCAGATGGCACTGAAAATATACTTTCTGCTGACCTGAGGCTGGAGGGGAAATGCGGCATCTGACCACACTTAGGCTTGATTGCTACTTGAGCCATGGCCCTATGCCTAGGGAGTCGTTGGATCATGTATTTCGACCAATATACAGAAAAAGATACCACAGCTAAACTACAAGTAAACAAAGTATCTTGGATTATGCATGTGTCATACTCCAACTTCTGGTCAGTTGTGGAAGCAGCCCAATAATGTCGATTTCTGTATTAGTCAGCCAGTGAAGGGGACCCAATCTCATTCGTGTGTGTGTGTGTGTGTGTGTGATAAACAAGATCTTATACAGTACAAATTATTATGGGTCAATCATTCTCAGTGTACTAACTCAGAGGGTTGTCAGGACAAAATGAGGTAAAGGAGAGAGCCAGCATGGTGTAGTGGTTAAGGTGCTAAGACTAGGCTCTGGGAGATCCAAGTCTGAATCCCCACTCTGCCACAGAAGTCTGCTGGAGGACCTTGGGCCAATCACACATTCTCAGCCCAGGGTTGCTGTGAGGATACAATGGAGGAGAGGAGAACGACATCAGCAGCTTTGGGACCCCAATGGTAAGCCCCTGTAAGCCGCCCTGAGCCCGCTTGCGGGGAGGGCGGGGTAAAAATACCTAAATAAATATAAAATAAAAGTGGGGTATAAATGAAGTCAATAAATAAACCACGTATGCTACCCTCCTCTTTGGTGGAAGGCTGCCATAAAAACTAATAGAATGCATAACTATGAAAAGATGATAGCTGCAATAGATGGGTCTGGCAGGTCTATACTTTGCCTAGGAAGGAGGTGAATGATCAGGGCTGACGTATGCCATACCCCATACGCTGCCAGTAACTATTGGAAGAAACTCACAGTACAGTCTTATACATGTTTGCTCAGAAGGCAGCCCTACTGTGTTCCATGGGATTTACTTCCCAGTAAGACTACAGCCTTAATGGGTCACTCTGATCACCTGTAATGGCTTAAGCTAAGGAGATAATAAATTCTGAAATGTTCTGGAGCCATGAACACAAAAAGGCCTTGACTGACGCCTCGTGGCCACAAATGACAAAGATGCCTGTTATACTAAACAGCATAAAATTTCTACCATCATCTGAATCGTCTTCAGCTATCCACCATGGCACAGGATGTTTCTTCAGTTCTTTCTTCCTGGATCGTCCAAGAGTTTCAAGGACACTGGTTTTTTTCTTTGGTTCACTTCCAACTGAATCATCTGAAAGAGACTGAATCAGAAGCTGACTTTTACAAAGTGCCCTGTCCCTTGGCTATTTTATTGTTACAGGCTCTCCAAAATATAAGGCATGATCGAATCGTAAGGACTGTTTGTCCCACTGAATTCAAGAAAGTTTAAGATTATGTTTAAGTGTGTAAGTTTGGCTTGGACATGCCATAGCAATCTTTCGAATACTGCCGCAGTATTCAAAATTGTGCCTTTGAAAATATGGTTTTTAATAATAGGATGCTCTGGGGTTTCTCTCTAACAGTTAAATCTAAGTGTTAAAAGATATTTTGGCATGTCTGACTAAGTTCAAAAGATATCAGCGATTTAAGGAATGATTTTGTACTTAAGCTGTTTTAATGATCTCCTTCTCTTGGGTTTTTAGTCAGTAGTGGTTATCTTTACTTTCTCCTTAACTGTCGTTCCCTTCCCTTATTTCTTTGTAGTTTGTAGTCTAATTAAAAAAGCAATAAAAAATCCCCTCCAGGGGGCCAAAGGAAAAAAGAATACTGCCGCAGTAAAAAAGTAAGATAAAGTACAGTTGTTATGTTTCTTTTTTTCCCTTTTGCTTTTACAGACATGGTTTGGTCTCTGATAACTTTCAAATGTTCCTAGTACAGCTGGGGAATATACCAGTCTTCCTGTGAAACAAAATTAAAACCTAGCTAAGGGTTGCCAACTCCAGTGGGAAACTCTTGGAGATCTGGGGCTGGAGCCTGGGGAGGGTGGAATTTGGGGAAGAGAGTGAGGTCAGCAGGGACGTGATGCCATAGAACCCACCCTCTGGAGATGCCATTTTCTCCAGAGAGAAACGGTCTCTGTAGATTGGAGATCAGTTATAATTCTGGGGAAACTCAGATTCTACCTGGAGGTTGGCAACCCTAAGCTAGCTGAATTTTGCTGTCATTTTAACTTAAGAAAATGTTACATTTTACAATAAAGATGTGGTAATATCTGAAATTGTTCTACTATTATTATCCAATTATGATTTATGGGCAGGAGTCCATGAATATGCTCACTAGACATGCTGTCATGACTGCCTGACTCTTCTGGCAAACCCCAGTCCCCCTTCTGAGCTTGGAACCAGGATACTCTGGAGCTCATCTCTTCCGTTCTACTGCATTTGTAAGGTGCTCCAAGTTGCCACTATGGCCAGGATAAGCTCCATCTTGAGATGGGACTGGGGAATCATTTCAGCTCTCTATTACTCTGACTATTACAGGTCAAAAGTACAGCATAACTATGGAGATTATCCCTCCCCCCCCATTCTCAGCATGAAAGGATAGCTGGGGGCTGGGGGACATCTGTGTCATACTGTGCTTTCAAGGCATGACTTCTGGAATCAACTTAATCCTCTGAAGGAGGCTTGAAGATCTCCATGTCACACTGTACTTACAGGGTCATGAGAGTACAGTTAACGTGTGGGGATGAGGCCAATGCCAATTCCCAGCTCAGGGGGAGGTTTGGGACTCTTCTGCAGTGCTCTGTACTTTGGAGGCACTCTGAATGCCTCTTAAGTGCGGCATGACAAAAATGACCCTCAATCCACTTCTTGAGCTTGGAGCTGGGGAGGGGGGGGTGTCAGGGTGCTGCCTCTTCTGACCTTCCACTGAGCTTTGGAGGTGCCAGGCACCTCTAAGTGCTGCTGCCACTCAGGGACAACATTCCCTGCTGTCTTGCTCAGCCCTTCCCCTTGGCTGCTCAAGCCTGAAAAGGAATTGCTACCTGGTGCTGTTGGTGTTGTTGCTTGTAGGGGAAGAACATTCCACCAAGGGCTGCGCCTTTTCACCTGCTCAGCCCCACCACATGCCCTAGTTGTTCATCCTGCTTTGTTGCCATATTGTGATTTTAGATTGTTTTAAAAAGTTTTGTAAACTGCTTTGAGTCCCACTTTGCACGAGAAAAATATTTAAAGTAGTAAGTGAAACACAAGGTCAGTGATAACACCCTGTCTTCCTCAACATTGGGGGGGGGGACACACAAAACTGTCACAATCACAATTTTGGAGCTTTTTACCAAGGCCAACGAAAATTTGTGAACCCTCATTCACAGAACTGTTACCAGAGTCACATTTATTCCAATTAACCACACAATCAGCTTAAGAGATTCCCTCCCACCCCCAAGTACAAGTAGCTGGGTTCAACGCAATGGTCACCTCGAGGTTAGACTACTGCAACGCTCTCTACATGGGGCTGCCCTTGTCCCAGATCTGGAAGCTGCAGCTATTGCAGAATGTTGCAGCCAGGCTGTGGATGGGTCGACATCCAGCCTGTGCTGAGGATGCTGCACTGGCTGCCCATAGCATACCGGGTTCGGTTCAAGATGCTGGTTTTAACCATTAAATCCCTATATGGTCAGGGACCTGCCTACTTGAGGGACTGCCTTTCCCCATATGTGCCCCAGAGAGCACTGAGGTCAGGCTCACAACACCGCCTGACTCTCCCTGGTCTGAAAGAAGCCAGACTGGCTATCACCAGAGCCGGGGCTTTCTCAGTGGCGGCTCCACACTGGTGGAATGGGCTCCCGGAGGACATCAGGGCCCTGCAGGACCTCTTACAATTCCGCAGGGCCTGTAAAATGGAGCTCTTCCAGCAGGCTTTCGATTAGGAGCCGCCACTGATGAGTGCCACTGATGAACATGCCCTAGAACATCTTCTGGCCCAGGACCATGCTCGATGCTACTTTTACCACTGGGTTGACTTGGAACATCGTTATCATCTGCTATCCCTACCATTGGGCCGACTTGAATTCCGCCATCATTTGCTGTTTTTATCTGTTGATGATGTTAACTGGGATGTTGTTTTTTGTTTTATGATATTTTGATCTTGTTAGCCGCCTTGAGCCAGTGTGTCCAGCAAGGCGGGATACAAACAGAAACAATAAATAAATAAACAAACTGTCAGGTTATTTTAGACATCCTGGCGATTCCACGACAATGGTGATCATCACCTTTCCAAAACAGCTGTGCAAATCATTCCTTAGATTTCCTACTTGTAGGCATGTATCACAGACCACCCCATCCTTTCAAACTAAAACTAATCCTGTCATTTTAAAGTATTAAACTATTACAATTCAAGTTTGCAAACCGCCACTGGTGAGATGCTTGACATGTCTGAGAATCACCTCCAGGTGACTGGAGAAGGCAGCTTCTGTTAACTAAAGAACTGGTTCTTTAATCTCTTTCAGAAGGACAAGATGCCATGAGTGACTAATACGAATGCATGGATAAGTGGTAGGTTACTAAAACATTTACTGGGCAGGAAACGTTTCTGGATTTGTTTGCAAGGCTGCTATAACTCTTGTAACATGAGCACTAAGCAATTTTATAGTCCAATGCATGAGTTACATTTTTCATATGCTGAAATCACTTCCACAAAGAAAAAGCTCACAGCCTCCATTCAGGTCATTTCATGTATTATATGTGTTGTTGGGGAACTACGATTGATCTACCTACAAGCTGCACATTTCTTACTACATAGAAGTTCATTGCTTGTTAGTAAAAGCATATGAAGCAATCTGTAATAAGCTGAGAAGACAAAATTAACAGCACTGTTTTTTTCCTTTTCCAAAAGACTGAACTATCCAGAGAAATCAGCTTTACCTTTAAAATATATGTTTAATGCACATTCTATAAATAACAGAGTCTAACATACACCCTATAAATAACAGAAGCAAACTTAGTGTCTTTTAAGCAATGGCCCAGTATTAATGCAACACTGCTGCCCAGAACACAAGAAGCCGGGAGTTCTTTACAGGTGTGTGATAGATGTTCTGTTATCACTCTCTGTTTCTTTTGTAATTACATCCTTTGTTCAGCAAGTGGGACTTGGATGATGCTGATGCTCCTTGGAGTATTATAACTGGAGAAACTAAAACCTCCCCAGATGTTGCAATTGAGGTCTGGAAACCTTCTGTGTCAAGCCATTCTGTCAACTTCCAATAGCAGAGTAAGAGCTAGGGAAAAAGCACTTAAGGCCCTTGATCTATCAATTGTCTGATCACTAACATTTTAAGGAATATTGCAGGGGTGGGGGAACTCCCCAGGACTTTCTAATTATAATGTCTCTTGCTGGTTTGATAACTCTAAAGAGCCACACACACCCAAATACACACAGTTATTGAGCATAATCAGTTAGGTGACAAATCTAAATAACACTGGGCTGGATCCAGCAATCCACAAACACAGCTCTGCTTGCAAACCAGAACTTTCCCTTCTTTCTCAGCAGCTCACCTAGTCTCAAAAAAACCCTGATTCGATAACATTCAGGAACAGCACTGGGTGTGATTTGAGGGGCTGCAGCAGGAAAAAAGAAATCAGGGAAAAGTCACTCCTTTTCTGCCACTGGATGTACTCTTGCACCAGCAGAAGTGACCACAGGATCCAACCCAGTGCCTCTTATTCCTTATTACAGTTATTTATTAGTTAACACACAGAATAGCAGCAACATTTAAAGTCCAAACCTAAGCCCCAGGCATTGGCACAGTGCCAGTATAGTTAGCATCCCCTGCTCCCCCAGTAGGATAATAGTTACAAAAAAGTCCCAAGGAGCCAAGACCACAGAATTTGCACCACAGACTGCAGCAACACTGCAGCAACCCACTCATCACAGAGCAACATGGCAGCAACATCCTATGACATCCATAGAAGGAAGCAGCCAAAACATTTTAGGTTCATGCCAGCATGCCATCTCAGCGTCACATCACTGTTTTTAGTGTGCCCAACATGAGGATATCCCAGGCAAACGCGATCTCATCAAGTAAGGTCAGCCCTGGTCAGCATTTGGATAGGCGACCACCAAGGAATACCAGGGTTATTACACAAAGGCAGGCAATGGCAAAGCACTTCTGAACGTCTTTTGCCTTGAAAACCCTGTGGAGTCACCATAAGTCAGCTGTGACTTGACAAGCAAAAAAAAAAAAAAAAAGAGATGTCAGGGAGATGTAGCCCTACAATCACATGTTCCTGTATCTTTGATATAGGTGCCCTGGCTGGGACTTACCCAGTCCTCTGGGAGATCTTTGATTGGCTGCAGACTTAGTTAGGTTGCGGTCACATGTGCCAGAAAGAACCGGGGGGGGGGGGGGGGGGGGCTATATGACGCAACTGCGGGTGAGTCATTTTTTGTGTGCCACTTTCCCCCCCATGCGCTTAAACGAGGGATCAATGAACTGCACCTCTGCACCGAGGGCTCCCTATGGAGTTTGCGATGATGCGCATACTGTGAAGGGGGGGGAAGAACGGCACGGAGTCAGGATGGCCTGATCAGACCACCCCAATGCCATGAGAGCGCGCTGGAGTGATCAGACATGGGAAAGTCCATCCGTGGCCCGTCGCAACCTGTTTACTACTGGGTTTTCCCCGGTGTCTTTTAACTCCGCTTCTGCTATAGAGCAGAACGGGTTGCTGACGGCTGCAGGGTACTTCCCAGATGTTGTTCTCTGATCGCACCCTTTAAATCCGCCCAGCATTCAAACCTATGCCGGGTTTAATTGTGCATGTGATTGCAGCCTTAGAATCCTATACTGCACCATAGCTTAGAGCAGGAGTGGCCAAACTGTGGCTTGGGAGCCACATGTGGCTCTTTCACACATATTGTGTGGCTCCCGGCAGGGCAGCTGGGGTAGCAAACGGGAGGCATGCCTCCCTAATCAGTCTTCCCTTCCCCAGCCAGCCTTCCCCTTCCTGGGTAGGCTTGAGGCAGGGGGGAGCAGAGAAAGAAAGCAACTTTAGCTTTAAAATGTATTCTCAAAGCCCCCCCCCCAAGCCTACAAATATAATTGTACAAATAAATATCACTATCTATTTATCCCTTTTGTTTTTATTTTTGGCAGTCTCACTTAATGTTAATAAAAAAGCAAATCTGCATATTTTTCAATAAAAATGGGTGTGTAATATTTGTTCATGACTTGCGGCTCTCAAACATCTGACGTTTATTCTGTCTGGCTCTTACGTTAAGCAAGTTTAGCCACCCTTGGCTTAGAGGTATGGCAGATGGCCGGGAGGAGGAGTTGTTTTTTCACTCTTACAATTTATGTGGGAGTGTTCTGAGAATGTTAGGGATACTGCTGGCACAATGTTCCACCAGCAGGCTTAGAACAACAGTTGTGTCTTGCTCCTCCCTCAGCATGACCCTGACACACCACTCATTTCCATTCTGATGTCCCAGCATATCTCCATATACACCTGAGCCAGTGTATCTCAGAACTGTGCTGGTGTCAAGCCATCCCAAACTATTCAGGCACAGTAGCTAAATTTGCACTGCTGACAACTGGGATGCATCAGTTAAAAAATAACCCCAGGTAGCCTCATTAATGATGAACAATGTTCATTAATATCCTAGAACACTCCAGAGAGTGTTTAGAAGGGTTTGCTATCCAATACAACAATCCAACACATTGTTTCTCCACAATTAAAATTTAGACTGGCAACCTCTTTCTCTCATGAACAAAAAACTCCTCCTTATTGTACATATGATGGCTGCATTATTGTCCCTAAAGTGCCCTAAATGTGTCACTGGTTTACTGAATTGGATTTGTACTCTATTCTCATAGATCATACAATCACCAGCTTCAGTTGCTTTAGTTTAAAACAGAAGTTCCCAAAGTGGGCAGTCCCATCCCTTGGGGGGCAGTGGGATTACCCAGGGAGTGTTAAGAGGTAAAGGGGCAGCAGGGGACACTGGAGATGTGCCGCTTTGACCACGATGCTCACTTCCAGGCTATGGCATCATGCTGGCAAATGGCATACCAAGTTTCTGGTTCTGCATAGTGCTGAAATCTGGTGAAACTATCAGAATTTTTAGAAAATATGCTAAAAGGTAAAGGTTTCCCTTGCTCGAAAGCTAGTCGAATCTGATTCTAGGGGGCGGTGCTCATCTCCGCTTCCAAGCCGAAGAGCCAGCGCTGTCCGAAGTTGTTTCCGTGGTCATGTGGCCGACATGACTAAACACCAAGGTGCACGGACCGCTGTTACCTTCTACCAGAGCTCAACTATTCTAGGAGCTCTGGGTTGAGAATGATGAAGATTTTGAATGTTTAGTGCTTCAAAGTGAAGTTTGTTGGCTATCAAAAGGTAACTGTGTGAGACTTTTTATGACCTTTTTGACATTGTTGTGGAAGTTCTGAAGACATGAATGCTTTACTCAAGCATAACATTGGTTATTTATTAGACCTATTTGCAAAGTTCAATGAAATTATTAAGGCCAAATCTATCATCTCTACATTTATTTCAAAGTTAACTCTATTCTAACACAATACATGAAGTCACGGACTACGCCAATTTCCAAGCCTGTCTGAGCCAGAAGAGAAAGGTAGGACACAAGAAAATGATGTGCCAGATTTTTGTGACCGTTTGGATATGCCACATGAAAATATGTCAGAGTGATTTGAAGATCCAGATTGAGTGATAAATCCATTTTCAGATATTGAAGAAGTTGGGGTATTGGAGGAAATATTAACAAAATGATACTGAGCTGAGGCCAAAGTTTAAGAAATCATACCAAGAGTTCTGGTTACAGAGGGAAATGTCTGATCCCTATCCAGCAATATGGACAGTGATTAAGAAGTTGTCGTTGCATTTCCAACATCCTATTGGGTGGAATGAGGTTTTAGTGTGGTCATCCAACTCCTCTCCAAGCAAAGAAATTAACCAGATTACTGAACATGGTGATTTAAGACTCTTGGGAAACTGGTATCATTTCATTAAGCCCATCCACCATATTAAGAGTTCACTGA